TTTTCTTTGTTGAAGAGGGTCTGTGCAATCCTTCTGCCTAGTCTGTCATCTTGCCAGAACTCCCCCATCAATATTCTTTAAGGACATGGAAAAACCAATCACTAATTTTATATGGAAAGGAAACAGAGCTTGGATAAGCAAAGTACTAACAAAGAAGAAAAACAAAGTAGGAGGTCTCATGCTCCCTGATCTTAAAACCTACTATCCAGCCACAGTAGTCAAACAGCCTGGTACAAGGTATATAATAGAGCTGACAAGGGACAAGGTTGTAGTCACTTCTTGGCCAGAGCCAGCTACCCAGAGGGAGTGAGTAGTTGGACCTGTGGTTTTGGGACCATGGTCTCAGGGGACATCAAGCTCAGCTGGCGTAGCATATTACACAAAAACACTATTCTACATCCTACTTTGTAAGTAGTGACTGGGATTTTAAAAGCTTGCAAGTGGCCATCTAGATGCAGCAATGGGACTCTCCTTGTTCACAGTAAAGAATAATGAAGAAAACACACATGGAAAAAATTAGTCCAAGTGACTGGTACACCATGAGACCCTCAGCCTATACAACTATTAGACCCGAAGAACTATAGTGTATGGCTACCACTGTCAACCACTCGCAGGGGAATCTACATATGAGATCCTGGATAGAGTTGGAGAACAATGTGGAACAAAACTCAAAATCATGAGAAAATAATAAAAAAAAAAAAAGGTATCAGGTTTGCTGGTCTGATAGAGCCTGGTGGAACCCCTGAGACTATGGCCCCTAGATGCCCTTCAGGTCTGGAATTGAACCCACTCCTGTGGCTTCCAGCCAAACAAAAGACAGGCATATGAGCTGAACATTCACATTAGGTAGATACTCTCCTTGGTTGGTGAGATAAATCATGTGAGAATAGAAGAGCTACGTATGTACAGAGAGACAGTTCAAGGGGCAGGAATACATGGGAGGGAAGGACACAGGGAAGAGGTAACTATGGGGAAGAAGTGAGAGGGGAGCTGTTGCATTGTGGGAAATTTCAGTCAATGTCATGAGACAAAGTGTATGTGAGCTGCTGTATGGAAAGCGAATTTGCTCTGTAAACTTTCACCCAAATTAAAATAAAAATTTTAAAAAAAGAAAGAAAGCCTGATACAACAACAGACACAGACAAGTGGAACAGAATTGAGAATCCAGAAATAGACCACAATGGACAACTGATTTTTGACAAAGGGCTGAACCCCATTCAACAGGGAAGAGACAGTCTCTTTAACAAGTACTGCTGGCAAAACTGAATGTCCATTTGCAGAAAAATGCAACAAGATCCATACCTTGCACCACACACAAAAATGGACTCAAGATGGATCAAAGACCTAAATATAAAATCTAACTAAAAGTTCATCAAAGATAAAAGAAGGGCACACTTAGGGGCCCTAAGTTTTGGCATAAATAGACTATCAACCATAACCCAAAATACACCAACAGCAGAAGAGAAACTAGATGGTTAGGACCTTCTAAAAATTAAATTCTTATGTGCATCAAAAGACTTCTCCAAAAGGAAAAAAGAGAACCTACAGATGGGTAAAAAATATTTGACAATAATACATCTGACAAAGGAGTTATCTCTAAAATTTATAGAAAATTTCAACACCTCAACATCAAAAACATAAACAATCCACTTCAAAAATGGGCACAGGACATGAACAGACACTTTACCAAAGAAGATATTCAGGCAGCCAACAAACACATGAAAAAATGTTTAAGATCCTCAGCCATTAGAGATGCAAATCAAAACAACAATGAGATATCATCTTACCCCATTAATAACAGCAGAGTTCAGCAAGACAGACAACAACAAATGTTAGCCAGGGTGTGGACAGATTGGAACTCTCATACACTGCTGGTGGGACTGTAAAATGGTGCAACCACTGTGGAAAATGGTATGGCGCTTCCTTATAAAGTTGGGAATAGAAATACCATTTGATACAGCAACCCCACTACTGGGAATATATCCTAAAGAAGTAAAGTCCAGGACATGAATAGATATATGCACACCCATGTTCACTGAAGCACTATTTATAATAACAAAGAGATGGGAACAACCTAAGTGTCCATCAACAGATGAATGGATATCCAAACTATGGTACACACATACACACAACAGAATACTGTACAAGATTAAAGAATAATGAAGAATCAGCGAATCACTGCATAATATGGATGAACTTGGAGGAAATTATGCTGAGTGCAATAAGTTAACCACAGAAAGACAAAGATTTTATGAGTCCATTATTATAAAAAGGCAAGGAAAGGTTTACATGGGGAAGGAAATTTCCTCTGTTCATTACTAGGCATGAGAGAGGCAGAGAAGGGAGGAAAAATAGATAGATAGTTAAGAGACAGGTTTGATAGAGGTGAAAGGAAAAGCAATAAAACAAAAGCATGAGACTAGCTCAATATCACTAAGGAAAAGGCAGACATGGAGGGGTGCACAAGAGGTACAGATAATAAAGGTAAATACAATTGCATATATAACACCATATCATTAGTAACAGCAAGCCCTAGTCCATGGGTGGATACATAGGTAGACAGAGAAGATCAGGCCAATGGGAATATACCCATGGCCATAAGTAGTAGGTTTGACAGATGATATTCGTATATATGTATTTGTATATTCTATAGAAATGTCCACATGCAGTTCAAACCTAACAGGAGCAAAAGTTAGGATGACTTCTTAGCCACAACTAAGCACCTTGAGGAGTGAGTCACTGGGCCTGCAGGCTGGGGACCGTGGTACAGGGGACATCAAGCTCATCTGGCACAACATGGTATACAAAAATTCTGTTCTACATCCTACTTTGGTGAGTAGCAAATGGGGTCTTAAAAGCTTGTGAGCAGCCATCTAAGATGCAACTATTGATTTCTCCTCATCCAGAGTGAGAAAGAGTGAAGAAAATCAAAGACATATGGAAACAATTAGTCATAAGAACTAAAGGACCATGAGATCCTCAGCTTATATGACCCTGAGACCAGAAGAACTAGTTGGTGTCCTGCTACCACTGTCAACCACTTGGAAAGGGATCAGTGAAGGAGACTGGATAGCATAGGAGAAAAATGTGGAACAAAACTCAAAATCATAAAAATGACCAGGGTTACTGGTCTGATAGAGACTGGTGAAACCCCTGAGACTATGGCCCAGAGATACCCTTTGGAGCTGGAATTGAAATCACTCCTGTCTCTTAACTCTCAGCTAAAAAACAGGTCTAGGAGCTGAACACCTACAGCAGAGAGATGCACACCTTAGAACAACTACCGTAGGAAACCAGAAGGGCAACATTTGCACAGGGAGAAAGGTAGGGAGGCAGGGTTGCACAAACAAGGACACAGGGAGGGGGTAACCACATGGAGGAGTGGCAGGAGAGCTATCACTCTGTGGGGAATGGAATCAGTGTCACAAAACAAAAATATGTATGAACTGTTGAATGTAAAATGAATCCACATTGTAAACTTTCATCCAAATCACAATAAAAAGTTTTTTAAAAAGTTATTTTCTGTATGTTAAGTATTGTTATCTATGTATAAAGATTTACAATGTTTGCTTAAGTTTTACACAAAATGTTAATGATAATTATCTTTGGGCCATAGAGTTATCAGTGTCCCTCAAATTTTTATTTGATTTGAATTTTCTAATTTTTTTCTAAAACGAATATACATAGTAGTTGTTAGGAGCCATTGGGTCGATTTTGACTCATAGCGACCCCATGCAACAGAACAGAATTGCCCATAGGGTTTCCTAGGCTGTAATCTTTACTGGAGCAGATCACCAGGTCTTTTTCCCATTAAGCTGCTGGGTACATTCAGATGGCCAACCTTTCAGCCAAATGCCTAACCACTGCACTGCCAGAGTTCCTTGAAAATGTATTATTCTCTGTGTATATATTTTGGCAATAACATATCAGTCAACCCAAGCTTAAAATGCTGAAAGTCACTTTTAAAGACAATAATCAATTTAATGCAAAATAAATGTTCATAAAAATTCTAAGTAACTTTTTAAGACTTGTTTTTCAGAGACTCCTAGTTCTGAACGTTATAATATCCTCTGCTTGAAATTCATCTAAGGGTTTTCCTGTGGACCTGCTCAATGCCATACCTGCAACTGCAATTGTGCATGACTCTTACCAGATAGCCTCTCCAGAAGGACTGAATGATGAGCGTTGCTTCCTCTTCCGTCAGCAGGAGGGAGAGTGGGACTGGTGGCCGTGGGCTGAAAAGCAATAAAATGGTCATATGCTTGTAGTTGGGCAATCTACTTCTGTAGTGATACTGCATTGGAAACCCAAGGAGGGGTCGCTATGAGTCGGGTCTGACTCCATGGCACATAACAACAACAACAATGTGCCTGTGAGAACCCGTCCTCCAGCCTCCACAATGCCTTTGACAATGTTACAACTTAAGTGCCTCATCCATCCCCATTCTTATATAGCAACAATGTCATTTTTTGGTACCAAAGTTTATATATTTGAGTGAGCATTTTTTATTTTAAAATTCAGGATAGATTTTTTAAAAAAAAAAACCAGCATAATCTTAAATGACTGGTTAGCCTGCTCTTCCTTAGGTAGGCACAGGTTGTTAAATTTTATTTTAGTCCTGAAGTTGCAACATACATTGTTATTGACACAAGAGTATGCCACATAATTCAAGAGACAGAAGGAAAACAACCTTTAGCTATTAAATTATAATTGAGACACAATAAAGGACTCTTCTTCAAATTCTCTACTGAAGGGAAATTAAGTAGTCCATCTCTTCCCTAAAAGCAAGAACTTAGAATTTATCTCCGATAATGTGGTTTATATTCAGGCATATTTCAATTCTACTACATCCTATTAAGCAATAAAATATCTCAAACATGAGGTCAGTGTACAGTTAGATTTTTTTAGTTTATGATAGGATATTTTAAAATCATGGTTAAATATGTTTGTTTGTTTTTCTTAAAAGTTTTATAGAGACAATGACTGCTGTCCAGGTCTTGAAATTCTGACTTGATTCTGTGTCTTTATGTTTCAGCTACTTCTGAAAAGCAAGGGCAAAGACTTTTCAGATATAGTACAAAATTATAAACCTCTGGCATAGTGCTTAAGGCATTTGATTGCTAACCAGCAGGCTGGCGGTTCAAATTCACCAGCCACTCCTGGGAAGGAAGATGGGGCAATCTACTTCCATAGCAATACTGCCTCAGAAACCCAAGGGGGGGGGGTGTCACTATGAGTTGTCTCTGACTCGATGGCACTAAGAGTTTGGAAAGGATGTGGATCCCATGGAGGCCTACTCCAGGACAGGCTCCCCAGAAATGACTTTGCAAGTGAGGGCTCCCCAAGTGCTTTTGCCTCAACGTCCTTCCTAATAACAGCCATCATTAGAGGTTACAGTCATTCTCCTTGTGAAGGCAGGAGTCCCTGGGTGGCACAAAAGGTTACGCACTCAACCACTACCTGAAAGGTCTGCAGCTCAAACCCACTCAGAGGTGCCTCAGAAGACAGCCTGGCAATCTGTTTCCCAAAAGTTTATTTGCTCCAAACACCTTATGGAGCACAGTTCTACTATGCACATATGGAGTCACCATGAGTCAGAATCAACTTGATGGCAGGTAACCACAAGACACAGTGCTAACCAGCTAAGGCGACCCAGCTTGTAGGTGCCCTGGTAGGATCTGGGCATAGATCTGCCAACCGCAAACTCGGGCTCCAGTCTCAGTGTTGTACTGACATACCACACCTCAACCGGGCTCCAGTCTCAGTGTTGTACTGACATACCACACCTCAACCGGGCTCCAGTCTCAGTGTTGTACTGACATACCACACCTCAACCGGGCTCCAGTCTCAGTGTTGTACTGACATACCACACCTCAACCGGGCAAACGCTCACAGGTGCCCAGCCTGACGCAGACTGGAAAGCTAAGCGGCAACAGTGTCTGATTCTCCAGGACCTGGGGTTTTGTTTCCCTCCAAATTTTGTCTAAAGAAACACAACAAAAAAACCTTGATACAGTGTATTTATCTGAATGAATAAATGCTCTTTTAATTATTCCAGAATCTAAGAAATAAAAGCCAGGAATAGCCTTGGAGGTTATCAAGATCATTCCAAGGCAGTACAATGTTGCCAATCTCTGGCTCCCCTTGGGCAGGTCCTTTCTAAAACACTGAAGAAAGGGGAGGCTCCCACTTCTTTGGATAGATACTTCCACCCTCTAAATGTTATCACTGTTAGAAACCTTTCCCTAATGTTCAGTTTCTGTTGTTATTTGCATAATGTGCTGGCTCTTTTTATTTTGGTTTTTGGTTCTGTTTTTGTTTTTATCAATTCTTGTCTGCTATCTGGCTCTCTTTGCTGTAATGGAGCATTCACATTTGGCCACTGGAGGCAGGTGGGCTCCCTGCTTCTACATTAATGTCTCTCCTCTTCTATTGTCCTTAGTCTCTAAATCTCAATTGTATGGCACAAGTAAATCATACCCCTTAAATAATTTCTCTTCACTAGTTAAAAACCTGAAAATATTGGCCACTGAAAACGTTATGAATAGCAGGGAAACATTGTCTGATGTAGTGCTGGAAGATAAGCCCCTCAGGTTGGAAGGCCTTCAAAATATAACTGGGGAAAAGCTGCCTCCTGAAAGTAGAGTAAATCTTAATGACATGGATGGACTAAAGTCTTTGGGACCCTCATTTGTGGAGCTGGCATAAGTCAAAGCGAGAAGAAACAACTGAAAATATCCAATAATCAGAACATGGAATGTACAGAGTATGAATCTAGGAAAACTGGAAGCTAGAAAAATGAAATGGAACACATAAAGAAAGATATCCTACGCATTAGTGAGCTGAAATGGACTGGTTTTGGCCATTTTGAATCAGACAATCCTATATAGTCTACTATGCCGGAAATGACAAACACAAGAGGAATGGCATCAAATTTATCATCAGAAAGAAAACTGCAAGATACATTTTAAAGTACAATGCTGTCAGTGATAGGTCAATATCCAGATGCCTATAAGGAAGACTAACTTAATATTTCTATTATTCAAATTTACACACCAATCACTAAAGCTAAGATGAAGAAATTGAAGATTTTTACCAACTTCTATAGTCTGAAATTAATCAAACACAAAATCAAAATGTATTGATATTTACTGGTGATTGGAATTTGAAAGTTGCAAACAAAGAAGAAGCACTGGTGGTTGAAAAATATGGCCTTGGTGAGTGAAATGATGCCAGAGATCGTATGACAGAATTTTGCACAACCAATTACTTAGTTATTGCAAAAACCTTTTTTCAACCACATAAATGGCAACTATACACATGGACATTACCAGATAGAACATATAGGAATCAAACTGACTACATTTGTGGAAAGAGACAATGAAGAAGTTCAATATTATCAGTCAAAACAAGGCCAGGGGCCAATTGTGGAACAGACCATCAACTGCTCACATGCAAGTTTAAATTGAAGCTGAAGAAACTTCAAACAAGTACATAAGAGCCAAAATATGACCTTGAGTATATCCTACCTGAATTCAGAGATCATCTGAAGAATAAATTGGATGCACCAATGACCGAAGATGAGACAAGCTGTGGGTTGACATTGAGGACATCATACATGAAGAAAGCAAAAGGTCATTAAAAAGACAGGAAAGGAAGGGAAGATCAAAATGGATGTCAGAAGAGACTCTAAAAATTGCTCTTGAATGGAGAGTAATTAAAGTGAATGGAAAAAATGATGAAGTAAAAGAGCTAAACAAGATTTCAAAGGGCAGCTTGAAAGGACAAGTATTATAATGAAAAGTATAAACACCTGGAAAATCAAAGGGGAAGAACACACTTAGCACTTCTCTAGCTGAAAGAACTAAAGAAAAAAGTCAAGCCTTCAGTTGCAATGCTGAGAGATTCTATGGGTAAAATATTGAAGGATGTGGGAAGCATCAAAAGAAAATGGAAGGAATACACAGAGTCACTGTACCAAAAAGGACTGGTCAATGTTCAGCCATTTCAGGAGGTAACATATGATCAAGAATCAGTGGTACTGACGGAAGAAGTCCAAGCTGCACTGAAGGAATTGGTAAAAAAAAAAAAAAAAAAAATTTCTCCAGGAACTGACAGGATATTGAGATGCTTCAAAAACACAGACGCAGCACTCACTCATTTATGCCAGGAAAGCTGGAACACAGCTACCTGGACAGTATGGAAGAAATCCATATCTGGGCCCTTTCCAAAGTAAGGTGACCCAACAGAATGCACAAATTATTGAACAATATCATTACTATCACACATAAGTAAAATGTTGCTGAAGATAATTAAATGGCTATAGCAATATATTGACAGGGAACTGCCAGAAATTCAAGCCAGATAGAACAGGCCATGGAATGACATATAATTGCTGATGTCAGATGGATCTTGGCTGAAAGCAAAGAATACCAGAAAGATATTTACATGTGTTTTATTGACTATGCAAAGGCATTCTACTGTTCAGATCATAACAAATGATGGATAACATTGTGAAGAATGGGAATTCCCAAACACTTAATTGTGCTCATGAAAAACCAGTACATAGACCAAGAGGCAGTCAGTCAAACAGAACAAGGGGGATACTGCATGGTCTCAAATAAGGAAAGGTGCATGTCAGGGCTGTAATCTTTCATCATACTTAGTAATCTATATGTTGAGCAAATAATCCAAGAAGCTGGACTCTAAGAAGAACAATGTAGCATCAGGATTGGAAAAACACTCCTTAACAAACTGAAATATGCAGATGACACAACCTTGCTTGCTGAAAGTGAAGAAGATAGCACTTACTGATGAAGATTAAAGACTACAGCCTCAATGGTCTGATAGAGCCTGGTGGAACCACTGAGACTATGGCCCCTAGCTGCCCTTCAGGTCTGGAATTGAACCCACACCTGTGGCTTCCAGCCAAACAAAAGACAGGCATATGAATTGAACATTTACCTGAGGTAGATACACTCCTTGGAGAGAACAATCATGGGAGAAAGAAGGGCTATTCATGCACAGGGAGACAGCTCAGGGGGCAGAAGAAGTGCATAGAGGGATGGACACAGGGAAGAGGTAACTATTAGGAGAAGTGGGAGGAAAGCTGTTGCATTGTGGTAAATTGTAGTCAATGCCATGAGACAAAGTGTGTGTGAACTGCTGTACGGAAAGTGAATTTGCTCTGTAAACTTTCACCCAAATCACAAAAAAAAAAAAAAAGAAAGAAAGA